TGAACAGATTTTTAGATCTGACAGGATACCTGTAATAGTATCACACTTTGAATATCACCTTATGTTTATTAACTTACGTAAATATTGTCATTCTATATAATCAGTATAATCGAGGGTTTCTTTAGATTTTTATTCATAGTGGGTGGGGTACGATTTGAACAATAATTCATTAAATAACTAGAAGAAAATTATCATATTCCTGGTTTATTATGTTAATTAGTTACATGGACTGCACTAAAGAAGCTATAATTTGACAGAAACACAAAATTTGGGGAAATAATTGATAGAACAAATAAGTAACAGTTATAACCTTACATTGAAAAACTATTTTAATGTACCGCCTCTCATTTTATATGTCTTACTGCATAATTACAAAGAAAGATTTCTAAAGATATGACATGAATACATTAAAAGATTACTTTCATGAGTAAATTACAATAGTGGAATAACAAAATAAGTAATATTTCTCTGTTTAAGCTTAGACAAGAGTGTCATAGCAAAAACCCATATGTTTAGCATTATTTTGCTTAATTACCTATAAAAAAGCAAAAAGCAATCTGTTTTCTCCAATAAAATTAAATCTATTCGTATAAAACTCTTTAAATGATATCTTACGTGCAAAAATTTCACCTGAAATACAAAAGCAGAAACAAATATGAGCAAATATTATTATTCTAGAATATTTAGGGATTTGGCGGCCATCTTTGACGCCATCTTGGATTTTTAAGCTACGCATCGGACTTGAACCAAATGAATATTCATTCCGGAAAATACAGACCAAGACGAACAATTTGGTATATAAAACTTGCTGTTGGCTGACATAGACCACTTCGGTGTCATTTTACCCTATGAATTTGCAGCACTAATATATAAAAGTCACGTGGGTTGGCTACATAGTAGAGGTGATAAAATATAATTGTAATACACCGTTTGTTAGCCATTGAAATAGTATTTTATGTATAAAGGATTTTCAAAAACGGTTATTAATCAGAGCGGGCGCTATGGTGCAGTGGTAATACTGTCTGCCTACAAATCAAGGGGTCGTGAGTTCGATCCCCCGCTACTCCACTGAACGAATAAAGACTACAAGACTGACAAAACTAGGACATCGACACAGAATGACGGCAACGATAGAAACAAGATAAGACCTTAACGGAACAGGAAAAAAGTACCGAAAGTACAAGACCGAAGACGACGACAGATAACAGAAGGAAGAACGGAGACAAGAACTGACAACAAGGAAACAGGGACGAGGACCGATAACAGAAGAACAGAGACAGGGACCGATAACAGAAGAACTTGCAACAAGACTAACAGAACAGGAAGCAATTACCGGAAGTACTAAACCAAGGATCACGACCGATAACAGAAGAAAGAACGGAGTCAAGAACTGACAACAGAAGGAGAGAGACAGGGACCGATAACAGAAGAACTGACAACAAAACAACGGAGACGAGGATTCATAGCAGAATAATATAAACGAGAACTGATAACAAAGAATGAAGACAAGGATCGGTAACAGAGACAGGAACCGATGACGGAAGACAACATGAAAACAGAGACCAGGACTAATAACAGAATAAAAAAGACGAGAACCAATAACAGAACAGGACAGGGAACAATAACATACAAGGATTTATAACAGAAAAATAGTGACGAGGACTGGTAACAGCATAATAGACTGATGATAGAAGAATAGATGACAGGGAACGAAAACAAAGATAGGGACCGATGACAGAAGAATTGACATCAAGAAAACAGAGACCAGAAGAATAGAGACGAAGAGGAGAACCGATTACCGCAAAACGAAGACGACGACCGATAGCAGAAAAACATAGACGAGAACCTATAACAAAAAACATCTAACAACAAAAGAATTTAGACCAGAACCGATTACAGAAGAACAAAGATCACGACCAATAACAGAAGAACTGACAGCAGATAAATGCGACGAGAACCGATAACAGAAGAACGAAGACGACGACTGATAACAGAAAAACGAACACCAAACCGAAAAGTACTTTAATTTATGTATATTTTGCACACGTTTTAACCCCCTCACACATATTAACGCATCTGAGTGCCAGTTAAAATCTAGCAGATAGGGCAGGAAAGAGTGTAGTGTTTTGAATGCCTTCAAATTTTCAGTACTATCTTCTATATTACTATAGAAAAATGTCTGCCATCTTGGATTTTTCTGCCATATTGGATTGTTTTGTTTTTTTAATTCTGTTTTGGTGTCTAATTTGATATATCATTCATTTATAATAAAGAAATTTGGTGGCCATTTTAGTGGTCATTTTAAATGGCCATTTCAATGGTCAAGATCAAGTTTTTCAATTTGGTATCCACCTTTATCGGATTCATCGTACCTTAAATAGGTAAAATAAACCAAGATACCACTTGTACTACAAAATGCCTCAAGCATCTTATAGGGAGTCAAATTCTCAAAATCAGTCCTGTCTAAAAATAGTGTTCATATAACAAAATTACGGTGGCATAAAAGTGACATTTGCATTTTTTTTAGTTTTGCATACATATTTTTTTCTACTTTTGCATTCATATTTTCTTTTATTTTAGTTTTTCGTACATATTTAATGTTTGCTTTCGTCCATATTTTAGCCAATCAAAACAGTCTTCACAACATAACAGCCCATAGTTGAGTTTAAAACTAGCACAGCCCGGGAATAACTCAGATAACAACATTCCTGCCTTATGTCCCGGAACAAAACACGATTGTTTTTTAACCCACTCCCCTGGCAGCAAGGGAGGTGATAACCAATGACTGGTTTTTACAATAATGCACAATAAAAAATCTAAAAAGGTCATTACATTCCACTGATTTAGAAAAATGCTTAAAGCTTTGAAGGATTTTTATGAAAATTTGGTCAATTCTTTAGCACATCCAGATAATGTGCAGAACTTATGTGCCAGGTGGGTCGGCTCTAGGCCGGGGGTCACACCTACAGGTCAAAGGATTTCATGTCCGCTCCTTATCTCCTAAACCCCATGAAGTATTTAAAGGCACCTTGTGTTAAATGTTAACCACATCGAGACCATACCTTTCTTTGGGTTATCGCGGACTATATATATACTCAAAGTGTTGTTATTTTTTTGATTCCTCCAAAATGAAAATGTTGGTATTGGTATTTGCAAATGGGGTACTGTAAATTACAGAAGGCGAAGTGTTTAAAAATGGCGTTTTACAAATGGCGTATTTATCCAAACCTCTACTTTGCAAATGGCGTCATGTAAAAATTTGTACGAAAAAACAAAAATAAAATATGTACAAAAAACAAAATTTAATATGTATGCAAACTAAAAAAGAATATGTATGCAAAATTAAAAAAAAATATTATTCAATATTTATAAAAATATGTACGACAAACAAAAAAAATTATAAAAAAAATGCAAATGTCACTTTTATGCCACCGTTCAAAATACTCTAGTACAGACATTGTGTATTCCTAAAATTAAAAGATGCTGCGAAAAATATCCCGTTCTGTCAGTCATTTACTTGATATCTTTTGGTGCCGTATTGAGCCCCATTTTAAATATGTTTGGAATGAAATAAAATGCAGTTACATGTAATTTTTTTCCCAAAGAACTATAAATATACTCTATTGCACTGTTCTGGTGAAACACCAAGATTTCCGATCGGACTATAAATAGTGATTTTTACAGCTTATCAACAAACTTAAGGGTTTTTGTAAGCTCCGTATACAACCGTTCGCCAGAGGCTTTTTTTTTTAATGGGAAATCTTACATACTTCTTTAGAAAGAGCAAACATGAATTCCATAATGTTAAAATAATGGTATCAGAGAAATGTAAGATGCTTGTTACCTGAATAAAGTAGCGATAAATGTGAAATTATTTGTCATAAAAGTGGTCAAACCAATGTAGTATTTGACTTCCATATAAAATACTAATTCACTATAACTGTTCTTGGCCAATGTGTAGTTTTGGATTATATAGAAAAACATCAAAATAGAAAGCTTTTAAGAAAAACAAATAAAGCATAATAGACCTTTAAAACGTTATTTTAACCCTCAGGGGATCGATACCCCACAATCCCCTCTGTACCCCAGTAAGAATTTTACATTACTCTGAAGCTCCGCTCTTATTGTGCGACTACTTAAATAGTACGGATAACTACTTAAAGGCTAGTTAAAGCCGCATAGATACACCTCGTCAAGTTTCTTATATGTCACATATAGGTAGATAATTGGCTCTCTTTACTGAAATGTCTTACTAAGATTGCCCAGAATTTATACCTTTGTCTATGCTAAGACTATCATATTTCTATAAAATGTGTAAATAAAAAACGGGAAAATAATCCATTTAGCTAAAAACAATGGAGTTAATGAACGGTGTACATTTTTTTTAAATAAATGGAAAATTTGAGAAAAAAAATATATTAATATTTTATATTTGATACAAATTCTTTATTAGGTGATTTATTTGGTGAAATTTCTTCACTTACTTATCAAGACCATTTAAATCCCTATTGATTCTACTATAATCCAGGACACACGCTTTGCGTCTATTTAATACCTTGATTTTTGTTTACTATTCGCTTTGACTACAAGATATTATTCAAAACATAATGAACATTAATTTTTTATGACCCCAAAGTGCGGTCGTTTGTCTGATGTTAAAAAATGCATATGTACCTGTTTAATGCACTTTGGGGTCGAAATTGATCGGACCCTAAAGTGCGTTTGACCCCAAAGTGCGGTGTTACATAGCATATTTACGCACTTTGGTGTCAATTTCTCGATTTTGACCCCAAAGTGCGTTGGACCCCAAAGTGTGTGCGAAGTGTAACGCTATTTGGGGTCGGACCCCAAAGTGCGTTGGACCCCAAAGTGTGGTGTTACACTGCCCAACATTTCATACGAATCCTACAGCGCGAAACTGATGACATATAGCGGAAAAAATTGGCTGGAAATGGAAATTGTATATACTTAAGCATACGTCATAATATGGTTTATTATACCTGGACAATTCCTGACAAGATCTAGAAGCATGTTCATCTTGGCAACGGTTTTCACGCGAGACAGGAATCCACCTTGAATTGCGCATCCCGCAATAGCATTTGACTGCGTTTCATATGACTTAATAACCCTGAAAAAGGCGAAAAATATAATTGACATATCTACATGTTGAGAGATGATCTGAGTTTAGTTGAATTAAGGTAAATAGTTTCATTTAATTTAATTTAGTTAAGTTTAGAATAGAATAGTTTAATTTAGTCTAGGTTAGTTTAAAGGGACTCCATCGCTGTCCAAAGGCCTAAAACATAAACTTTAGAAATCTAACAAAAATCAAACGGAGCACTTAAAATGGAATAATCTGCAAACAATAATAAAGAAAATTACTCAGAATTAAATCAAAACTTGATTTTGGGCGATACTCAGCTTGATGCTAGTGAAAAGCGTTACAACGCTTTTCTTTTTTTGGGCCATTCTGCACAATAACAATGATTATTTTGGAATAATAATATTTGTCAGATGTTACGGTTCGGATCGGAATATCCGCCCCGAGGTTTCCCCGCCAATTGGGCGGTAACAAGGCTTGCCGAGTAACCGCCCATGGATGGGTACCCGAGGGACAGATATTTCGATCTGAACCGCAAACCTATGCCAGATATTTTTTCTTGCATATTCTGCCATATTCTTTCATACTTAAAATGGTTTACCTCATTTAGACATTTTGTACATGGAAATTAATTTCATCGTACAATAGCGTATGAATTTACAATTTTTATAACAACGGCAAAATGACGTCATCCTAATTTTACATATATTCAATCATCCACTTAAGGTGATGCAAAAAACAACCTTCGAGCAACCTTGACTTCTTGAAAAATAAGTGATCTGAATAAAAATTTAAAACAAGCGTGTAATGTATGATGTTTCAACTGTAAACAAAGAATAAATTCAATTTATTGCAATCCCAACCACGGTCTTCATATAAATTTGCTTTATACTCAAATTGATTATAATATCTCATTCCAAACTCTAGTTATTGTCCAGAAACCATTTTTCTACTTTTAGTAACAGTAAACCTTGACCCCAGGGGGACCAAATGTATCCCAATTGAGGTTTCAACATAAGATAGCTAAATCCAAGTTTGATAACAATAACTTATTCATAACAAATGTTATTCTCTGAAAACCATTTTTCTCTTTTTAGTAGCAGTGACCTTGACCCCGGGGGTCTATAAGCAAAAAAAGTCGACGTCTTCAAATAAACTTGTTAAATGCCAAGTTGATAACAATATCTCATTCCAAACTGTAGCTGTTGTCCGGAAAACATTCTTTTATTTAAGTAACGTTGACCTTAACCCAAGGGGGCCCAAAAGCAATCCCACTAAGGGTCTTCATATAAGGATGCTAAATATCAAGTTTGATGGCAATATCTCATTTCCAACTCTAGTTATTGTCCAGAAACCATTTTTCTATTTTTAGTAACAGTGACCTTGACGTCTCCAAATTATTACAAACCAAGGCCTTTACTTTAACTTGCTTTATACCAAATGTGGTTACAATAATTTATTCCAAACTCTAGTTATTGTCCGTAAACCACTTTTCTATTTTAAGTCACTGTAACATTTACCAGAGGGTAAAAAAGCAATCGGTGTATTCGAATAAGCTTACTTTATATAAAGTTTGAGTATAATACCTCATTCAAAACTGTAGTTGTCGTCCGGAAACCATTTTTCTATTCTTAGTAATGGTGACCTTGACCTTGACACCAGGGGGGTGTCCAAAAGCAATCCCTCCCAGGTTCTTCATGTAAGCTCGATATACTTATATTAAGTTCGATTAAAATATTTCATCCTAAAACTCTAGTAACTAGTATTGTCCAGAAACCATTTTTCTATTTTTAGTAACGGTGACCTTGACCTACTAAAAGCAATTCCAAACTTAAGTTTACTGTATATACCAAAATTGATCACAATACGTAATTGCAAACTACATTTATCGTCCGGAAATCATGAAGGAGACCGACAGCCGACAAGCTAAACTGCTATACACCCCCTAAACTTCGTTTGTTGGGGTATAATAATATTCAGTATTGTACACAACAATTAAGTCTACCATATTACTATGCTTTCGGTTTGGTTGTTAACTATAAAGAATATTTTACTTGTATGTGAAGAGCTCTCCGTCAGACAACTGTACTGTTCTAAATATAGTATCATCAGGAGGGCACGAGAAAGGTTGTGCAGTCGGGAGTGTTGTAGTTGATGTTATTCCGGCTGCAAAAAGAAACAAATTTCATTGAAGTAGTAAAAAAGGATAAAAGCACGTCTTTACAAATGAAAATATTGTCCTTGATCCTGTGAAATTACAATGATTATTTTTTGTAATAAATTACAATTAAATGGTGGCTGATTTACACCATGGTCTCATTTCGCTTTATTGCCACGAACATCGGCCAGGTCCAACTTTGCCGTATCTTTGTAAAAAGCTTTCGCATTTTCGCGTTCAGGTGGCGAAAATTCAAAAGGAGGACAAAATAAGGCAATAACGATTCATATAATTTGTCGTATCTTTGCATTTTCGCTAAATTTCTTTATCGCATATTTGTTATTCCTATTGTTAAATCTTCGCCTTTTCGCACTGTTGCATTGCCTCATTTTCTAATCTTTGCACTTTTGCTTTTTTTGTGCATTGTTACTTTGTTCGCATCTCCGCGTAATGGTTACGTTAATTACAGGTTATCGCATTTTGTACATGCAGACTCGTCACGTTTACTACTATTGCGCGCATAACTTTGTACAACCAGACAACGGAAATAATATGATGTAACAAAGCCAAAATGCAACAATGCCCATGTTCTTGTTCAACCGACACGCGCAAAATGTTACAATGAAAAAAGCGAAAATGCGAGAACATGGCAAGGTTTGACTTGCTGCGTTTTTGTGTCCAAAAGGAAAGACAGCTTTACATAATGTTAGTGTTTAAATGAAATTTTAACAATTAAAAACCCAAAAAGAAGCGATCAGAAGGGAACGACCGTGGGTTCTTAATTGGTAAAAAGTTCATTTGATAAAAAACTAACTTACAATAGTCTTACAATAGTGTTTTATAAACCTCATTTGACACCGCTGGAACGCCTCTAGCTTATAGAAAGTTGTTTTACCATGCAATGGGTGGTGTTTAGTTAGCGCATTTCATTATAAATGGCAAAGACAGGGTGCACATTATTTACATCGTGAACAGCTGAATTTTTTTAATGTTGCAATTTTCGGATAAACCTTAGCCCTTCTCTATATAATTTTGTCGAGGACACTTCCAAATGAATTGAAATATACTGAAATGAACCCTAAACAACGCGTACAGAGAAGTGAAACTTTACCGACCTTTTGTATTTATCGTTAAATTTTAAATGACAATCATCATCCAGTTGTGATTAATACATGTCAGTTCAAAATGAAAAAAATATATTTGTGATTTATTCCATAGAATTATAAACAAAATGACCCCTTCGTAAAAAGCGGTAGTATGAAGAAACGTTGATCTAGTTCTTCCAATTATAAGGCGGGACTACAACATTCAGGTTACACATGCGCACTTCGTTCCAAGTTATTAACTTAAAAAAAATAATATTGAGCGATTTAATTGGTCGGCAAATGATGTTTGAACACTAATGCAGTAATGGTGGACGGAGACCTCATTGTTTCTAACTGACCTATTTTTATTATGTCCTCTTTAATGCATTATTTTATCCTGACTATACACATTATGAAAGTTATGTTAACAGACTATGAAATAACTATTATTGCTCTTAAAAGAACAATAGTGAAACTTTTGCCACTTGTTCACGCCAAGCGATCAGCTAACAAATTTCACGCAAGTAATAAAATATGGAAAATTCATTTCCGTTTATTTTTGTTTATTCTATCTCCGACAAACTTGCAGAGTCTGGATCTTAATTATACGGAGCCCCTAAGGTGACATTTTCAACACTTTTTTCCTGGCATTTAATTCGTTTTTACCAAATATTAATCGGAATTACGAAATATTAATTCATTTTTACGAAATAATAATTCGTCTTTACGAAATAATAATTTGTTTTTACGAAACAGCAATTCGTTTTTAAGATTTATTAATTCGTTTTTAGAAAATAATAATTCGTAAATCCGAAATATTAATTCGTAATAACGAAATATTAATTTGTTTTTACGAAATATTAATACGTTTTAACGAAATATTAATTCGTAATTACAAAATATTAATTCGTTTTCACAAAGTATTAATTTGTTTTAACGAAATATTAATTCCTTTCTACGAAATATTAATTCGTTTTTACGATAAAATTATTCGTAATTACGAAATATTAATAAGTTATTAAGAAATATCAATTCGTTTGTACGAAATATTAATTCGTAATCACGAAATGTTATTTCGTAATTACGAAAGAATAATTCGTAATCACGAAATAAAAATTCGTTTTTACGAAATATTAATTTGTTTTTAGAAATGATAATTCGTTTTTACGAATTATTAATTCGTTTAAACAAAACCTTATTTAAGGTCATTGTGAGTTTGACATAAAAACCTACTAATCTAACAAAGAGGTCATTTACAAGCCTGGATCAACCTTACGATTATAAGCCGAATGGTTCTCAAGTTATCATATTTAAGTGAACAGGATTTTTGAGTGAGAAGTCATTCTCAATCCAAAATATACTTTTTTACCCATTGTCAAATACATGTTTCCATCAGCAATGTTTTAATTTTTGAAGCTATAAATCTTTTCTGACTTGTTTCTTTAAAAAAGAAATAATTATGCTATATTATTACTTTCTTTGTAAAACTAAAGGGGGGCTCCAGATTTTCATTCAAACATTACAATTTATGTATGGGCACCGTGCGACCATAAAAACATAATATTTTATTTCAAAACTCGATAACATCGACAAAACGATGGATTTGAAGCACAGGACCCCCATTTTAACAAAATGTTTCTAGCGCTTTACTAGTACTATCACGGCTGTGGCTGAAATGGTATTGATAGGCGATTATTTTAATTTATATACATAATTATGAAGTTATAAAACTTGGGGAGAAAAAAATCACTATTTATATTGCATTTACATGCTTTATATTTAGTCAGGAAGTTAGTTTATAAATATTACCAAAACTCTTTGACACCCTTACGAATTATTATTTCGTAATTACTCAATAACATTTCGTTTTTACGTACTAATATTTCGTAATTACGAAATAATCTTTCGTAAAAACGAATTAATATCTCGTAATTTAAACGAATTAATATTTCGTAATAACGATTTAATATTTCGTAAAACGAATCAATATTTCGTAAAAACGAATAAATATTTCGTAAAAATGAATAAATATTTCGTATTTAGGAAATAATATTTCGTAAAAACGAATTAAGTTTCGGGAAAAAATGTGGAAAATGTCACCTTAGGGGCTCCGTACATTAGGGGCTCCCTAAAATTATATAAATTCATATAATTTTATTAAAATTTTGAGAAGGTTTTTAAAAGTAAAATATTGAAAAAAAGAACAAAGAATTTACACGTTGCACACGGCAATTACAATCCATGTCAATTTCCAACATGAGGGGGATGAAATATGAATATCTTGACCACTTTCCTGTTTAAGCTCTCAAAAGAAATTAATTCAGCCTGTAAGATCTAAACTAGTAAAGTCATATAACAGTTCCGGATACCCCTTTATTAAGGCTATAATATTGTGATGCTCATTCAAACAGGTTTAACTGTATTCTGATACCTTACCTCCACCAAGCACATAGTAATATGATTTCTGCACGTACGATAACCCATCTGTGGCATCCAACACAGTGTCGTGTAACTGACAGTTTAGTTGTTCTGTTGGCATAATGAAGAAGGATATGCACGTGTCATTTATAGAGCACGCGCGGCCACACCCTACAGATGATCGTGTTCTGACCTTATATCCTGATGATGTAGTCATATTCTCCAGTTCCGGTTTGTATATCCACAACTGATGCGAGACATCACCTAGAAACATAAATAAAGAAAATAGCACAAATTACTGAGGAAAACTATATATTACTTAATTAAATACAAAATAAGGAGCACAGTCTAAAATATTAAATTATAGTTTTCAGTTTAAAAAATCGGTGTTGTTAATAGTGACAATTTATGTAATTCAAGAAAACTACTATTAAACCATATTTTGTTTTGTAACTTTTCTTCTATATTTTTGTTTATTTGTTCTCTTAAATCGTCACACACTTTAGGAATGAGTACTGCGTACAAGATGGCAAAGCTAATTACCAACATAGCAATTACTGTAGCTTTGTAACACCGCACTTTGGGGTCAAACGCACTTTGGGGTCCAACCCCAAAGTGCGTTACGTACTTTGGGGTCCGACCCCAGAGTGCGTTACGCACTTTGGGGTCCAATTTCGACCCCAAAGTGCGTTAAACAGGTACATATGTATTTTTTAACATCAGGCAAACGACCGCACTTTGGGGTCATAGAAAATTAATGTTCATAATGTTTTAAATAATATATTGTAGTCAAATCGAATGGTAAACAAAAATCAAGGTATTAAAAAGACGCAAAACATGTGCCCTGGATTATAGTAGAATCAATAGGGATTTAAATGGTCTTGATTAGTAAGTTAAAAATTTTCACCAAATAAATCACCTAATAAAGAATTTGTTTCAATTATTAAGCTTAAAATAAATTTTTCCAAAATTTCCATTTATTTTAAAAGAATGTACACCTTTCATTAACTCCATTGTTTTTAGCTAAATGGATTATTTTCCCGTTTTTTATTTACACATTTTATAGAAATATGATAGTCTTAGCATAGACAAAGGTATAAATTCTGGGCAATTTTAGTAAAACATTTCAGTAAAAAAATATGCCTGATAATATGTTGAAAGAGCCATTTATTTAGCTAAATGTGACATACTAGTATAAGAAACTTGACTAGGTGAAGATGCGGCTTTAGGTAGTCGCACATTAAGAGCAGAGCTTCAGAATAATGTAAAATTCTCACTGGGGGTATGGAGGGGATTGTGGGGTATCAATCTCCCCCCCCCCCCCCCGAGGTTTAAAAATAACGTTTTAAGGGCCCATTATGCTTTTATTTGTTTTTCTTAAAAACTTTTTTATTTTGATGTTCTTTAATATCCATAAAATGCACATTGGCCAATTACCTGAACCATCTTTTTCATCTGTTGCATTTTGGCAATGATGAGTTAAGTTATAGTGAATTAGTGTTTTATATTGAAGTCAAATACTACATCATTTTGACTACTTTTATGACAAAGTATTTCACATTTATCGCTACTTTATTCAGGTTACAAGCATCTTACATTTCTCTGATACCATTATTTTAACATTATAAAATTCATGTTTGCTCTTTCTAACGAAGTATGTAAGATTTCCATTAAAAAATGCCTCTGGCGAACGGTGGTTACGGAGCTTACAAAAACCCTTAAATTTGTTGATAAGCTTAATAATGTATTTGTAAAAATCACTATTTATAGTCCGATCGAAAAACTTGATGTTTCACCAGAACATTGCAATAGAGTATATTTATAGTTCTTTGGAAAAAAATATTAACTGCATTTTATTTCATTCCCAACATATTTAAAATGGGACTCAATATGGCACCAAAAGTTATCAAGTAAATGACTGACAAAACGGCATCTTTTAATTTTAGGAATACACAATTTCTGTACTAGAGTATTTTGAACGGTGGCATAAAAGTGACATTTGCATTTTTTTATACTTTTTTTGTTTTTTTCGTATATATTTTTTTTTGTTTGTCGTACATATTTTTTTTTAAGTTTTGAATACATACTTTTTTTAGTTTTGCATACATATCCGTTTTTAATTTTGCATACATATTTTATTTTAGTTTTTTGTACATATTTTTTTTCGTACATATTTTTACATGACGCAATTTGCAAAGTAGAGGTTTGGATAATAACGCCATTTGTAAAACACCATTTTTAAACACTTCGCCATCTGTAAATTACAGTACCCCATTTGCAAATACCAACATTTTCATTTTGGAGGTATCAAAAAAATAACAACACTTTTAGTATATATATATAGTCCGCGGTAACCCAAAGAAAGGTTCTGCATATTGTCTCGATGTGGTTAACATTTTACACAAAGTGCCTGAAAATCCTTTATGGGGTTTTGGAGATAAGGAGCGGACATGAAACCCAAGTCTTAATCCTTTGACCTGTAGGTGTGTCCCCCGACCTTGAGCCGGCACACCTGGCATATAAGTTCTGCACATTATCTGGATGTGCTAAAGAATTGACCCAATTTTCATAAAAATCCTTCAAAGCTTTAAGCATTTTTTCTAAATCAGTGGAATATAAGGACCTTTTTAGATCTTTTATTGTGCATTATTGTAATACACCAGTCATTTGTAACCACCTCCCTTGCCCCCGGGGGAGTGCGGGTTAAAAAAGAATCGTGTTTTGATGTTTGCGCTGTTCCGGGGCATAAGGCAGGAATGTTGTTATCTGAGTATCCCCCGCAGGGCGAAGATTTTACCAGTGGTCGGCTTGGTTTAAAGTCAATGCCCCCCCCCCCCCCCCGCTATTCTCAGGGGGTGGGGTTGAGTGGTGCATATTCATAATAATAACTGATCACCAATGATAAAAAAACCAATAATTATATAAAATACATATAATTTAAAAAATGGGCCGAAAAGGATCGGCCGAAACCAGACTTGCCCGGCCGAAAACGACTGGACCGATTCCAAAAATGAGCCCAAATCTGACAAAACTACTGTGCTAGTTTATACTCAACTATGGGCTGTTATGAGATGTGAAGGCTGTTTTGATTGGCTAAAATATGTACGAAAAACAAAAATAAAATATGTACGAAAAACTAAAATATAATATGTATGCAAAACTAAAAATAATGCAAATGTCACCGTAATTTTGTTATGTGAACACAATTTTTAGATATTTCAAGTGGTAAAATTAATGAAACTTTTATCACTTAAGCATCATCAAAATATTGACCGCCATCTTGAACTCCACCTCAAATATTTCAATGTCGCAGATCGAAAATAAGTCAGTACTCAGTATTTAAGCAGGACTCAGATGACACCTTTAGATCTCTGGAACCCAAAGTGCGTTGATATGTAGCATATTAACGCACTTTGGGGTCAATTTTTCGATTTTGACCACAAAGTGCGTTTGACCCCAAAGTGCGGTGCGAAGTTTAACGCACTTTGGGGTCGGACCCCAAAGTGCGTTTGACCCCAAAGTGCAGTGTTACATAGCTTAATGTTAATGGGAAAGTTTACATGTTTAGTAAGTTATGCTGCAAAGTTACATGTGAATATAGCTAAAATTTAAATGCACTAATGAATTTATTTAAAGATAGAAAGTTAATCCGCGTTAGAAATACGTACAGCTACGTACGGTTGTTTGGAAATATAACCCGAACCACTAGGCGAGGGTAATATTGCAAACAACCGTTTACATACGGCAATATATCCTGTCAGAAATATTTATAACGAATTTATAATACAGCAAGCATCATTTTTAGAGGAATAAAGCGAAAGTTCTTCATAAATCGACAGCAAGACGTATATATAAAACTATATAAACGTCACTATTATCCAATGAAAAGCGACGTTACAAGCAAGCAGTATTATAAAGTTTTTTATAATACTGCCCGTTTGTAACGTCGCTTTTCATCGGATAATTGTGAAGTTAATATTATTAGTTATAAAAATATACACGGCTGCTGTTTATAAAAAAATTCTCGCTTTATTCCTCTAAAATGATGCCTGCTGAATAAATATTCCTGACAGGTTATATGGCCGTATATAAACCTAGCGGCTCGGGTTATATTTACAAACAACGGTTTATATAGGACCGTATTACCTGTCCGGAATTTTTATAACTAATAATATGCACGTGACAATTATCCGATGAAAAGCGATGTTACAAACGGGCAGTTTTATGATATTAGTTATAAAGATCGTTGACAGGTTTTATGGCCCTATACAAACGGCTATTTGTAAATATAACCGAGTCGTTAGGCGAGGGTTATATTGCAAAGAGCCGTTTATATACGGCCATATAACCTGTCAACAATCTTTATAACGAATTTATAATACAGCAAGCATCATTTTGTGGAGAAAAATAGAGAATACCATGCTAGTGTCTAATATTATAAAATTTATCAGGCAAGGCTAAGAAAAAAAATGAAGGGCGAGCTCTTCACTTTTTTCGTGCCGAGCCTGATAAATTTTATAATATCAGACACTTGTTTGGTATTCTATTTATCATGTTTTCAATTTCAATTGTTGTTTGATTTTTTTTTATTTTAATTGAAGCAAAACCCTATCCAGAACCTCTCGTGTTCAGACGGCGCCGATAATATGTGAAATGTCAAATCAAAAAGAAATAGTCCCGAATGTTTTAGTTAATTGTAAGTGACGCGTTCATATTCAAAATTTCTATTCGATTCAAAGTTTATCAGTTAAATATTTCCAACCCAGTAGCAGGAAAATATATTCCATTCTTTTTGATTTCATTTCGCAAATTTTGCATATTTTTGATGAGGTGATTGATAAAACTTGGGGTGACTGATAAAGCTAGGTTTATCAGGCATGCACTTTATCAACAGAAATCAATGTAATGACATGATATAAAAAGATATCGACAACAGCCGTGTATATAAATCTATATAAACGTCACAATTATCCCATGAAAAGCGACGTTACAAACGGGCAGTATTATAATGCCGTATATAAACGGTTGTTTGCAATATAACCCTCGCCTAACGGCTCGGGTAATATTTCGTAACAACTGTATATATAGAGCCATATAACCTGTCAAAAAATTTTATAACCAATAAAATAAATTTCTACAAAGTTTACTCTCGCAGTAAATTTTGCTGAAAAGTTTAGCTGAGTTGGAAAAATAGCAGGAGAGTTAACAAAGGCAACTCAAATTTTACTGGAAGGTTTACAGATGCAGAAAAAAGTTTTCTCGCGTTCCAATCATTTCAGAGAGGTTTGCCAGAAAAACGATTTTTTTTCATGGAAAGTTTGCTTTACAAATATAGTTGGCAAATTTATCTGTGTAATAAAATTTGCTGGAAAGCTAACCCGTGTGGTATGTAAAGAATATATACTTTAAAGAATCCCACGTCACAATTTTTTTGGAACAGATATCAACGGCCACGTAGCCGAACAATTTGTTCTTTATTGTATTGGTTGGCCCTCAGTACAGAAATTGGTCAATAAGATTATGAGATGTTTATTCATGCATCTAGCGGACGATGTAGAATAAATAAAATACCAAGTATCTTATATCAATGTAAGCCTATATCTAACCAACGTGACAAGCTTTTGCCCAGTCTAAATCAAATTCAAATTAAATATTATTCAATGAAATATTTTACCATATTATTCTATAATACAGTTCAAACTTTAATTGATATATTGGAACTTAATGCGTCGCGTTTTACACATTACTTTTAACACATTGAATGATATGCATCACAATTTTACGAGGGGGGGGGGGGGGGGGGAAGCTGAAACACGCTTAAAATGGCTATTTTTTTTTAACTTTGTCAAATGAAAACTTTGAGATGCTAAATCAAACTTGGGTGATAAAGCTTGCTTAAGTGTCAAAAAAACACGTTATAGTCCATTTTCATCGCCTCTCTTTTAAATCTGGGAAAAAAAACTAGAAAAATATCAATCAAAATAAGATACAAAAATATACTTACATTTCATTCCATTTAACCTTTTATCGTACCTTATTTCATATGTAAAAACAACACAAATTAGTAAATAAATTTAAAATTAACATACTTATCAAGTTGTTAATACAATTTGAATCAAAAAGTTTGAATGATTAAAAACATTTTAAATTGACTTATTTATATTCAAATAATAATTCAAAACAACATTTTCAAAAACGATAAATAATATTACTTACAATGTGAAAGATTTATTACAAATGGAAATAGCAGAACTAACTGCCCACGCAGACGAAATAAAATATCCATGTTTTCATTAAAGAACTCGTAATTCAAATAATGTTTGCAGTTTTTTTCCCTTTATATAATAAATCCAATTGATGCGTCAATTTTACAATAAATACGGAGTACAGTTTTCGCCTTCACATTTTCTAGGAAATGAACTTGCATAGTTTTAATGTACTAGTAGTAATAATGTGACAGTATGTGGAAATGGTGAGTGCAGTGCAGTGAAAAAGTCATAAATTATTTTCACTTCTTTCTTGTGTTACAAATAAACAATAACTCACGAAAATTTCTATAAAACATCCTTCGTAAGTTGTCGGTAACGTTTACTAAGTTTTACCATCATAATTCAGACTTAGTTGTAAAATTTAATTGTAATTTAAAAATCCTTTTACGACAAGGTATTAGCAAACCTGACTTCTATGGAGATGTGGTTTACAAACTTCGTAGGATCATGGGTCATAGTAATTTTTCTGCCGTCTTCACTAAAATTATCAAACGGTTTATTAAAAGAGGTTATGACCCAATTATTTTAAGGTATACCGCATGCTTGGTGTTCAACACTTTTACAGTTGGACGCTACGCTTTCCTCTTTTGATTACATCTGACGGACCGAGTGGAGACTCTATATGATGGACAATTCTTTAAGCCCTTTGGGACTGAATTGTCTTTTATGTTCGTCTTCTGCTTTGCTTCGTCAGGCTCTTGTAGGTGATTTTCTTGTTGCTCTGCCTTCCTTTAAGGCATCAAGTACTTTGGTAATGGTCATTACGCTGTAACCTTTTCTACATATTTACATAATTTTGTATGTGTTTTATTTATTTCGTCTAATGTAACCATGACCATTGTTAGAATTTTACTTGGCGAGGATTAATTTTATATACATTTTCGTGTCATTCAGGAACATATTGGGACTAAAAGTGAGGTTTGCCGCGCTTAAAACCGGTTTAAACTCACCAGTGGTTTAACCAGTACCACTGACCGTTCCAAGGCGGTACCCTTCTGTGTTCCTTCACATGTTTTTCATGTCTGTTTTGTTACTTGTTTTGGATGTTTTGTGATGTCTGTCTTGTTGGATTGTCGTTGACGCTAAGTATTTTCTCAACACCCGCCCCCCCTCAACCATTTTTTACCCCCCCCCACCTTTTCACCCTTACTGCCCCTATCACTTTAATTCCCTTATGGGCCCGTTTTAGTTGATATTATTTCACATTACATGTCCCACTCCTTTAACCCTCATGTCCGCTCTAGGTTTTTTTAGTGTGTCGGGGACGGCGTCCTGTGAACGTTGTCTTTGCCTTGTTGATCTTTGTTCTTCTTATTTTGTCCGGTCAACATTTGTGCCAAGTTGAACATTTTTATAGTTCATAGCAGTTTTTCAATGAAAATAGCCATTTTTCACAATATGCTCATGGGGTTTCCTCTTTTCTGCGACTCAATTTAAGAGGATATATAAGTTTGCAATAACATGAACATTTCAGATTAATATAAAACAGAGCAACTGGAAATCTGATTTTGCATACGACAATATTTATTATATTAAAGACTTTGGTTGTATGAGAGGTGTGTACTAAATGCATGTACAATAAATTTACTATAATTAAAAGCCTGTCCGCTTGTTGAATCCCTTTTTGATTATTAATTACTTGTTCTTTTATACGTAGGTACTAAACGTAATTTGAATCCTTTAATTAGCAATGCAATGAAATAATCGTTGTAGGGGATGGTGTAATCATGCACTGCTTTCAAACATATCGCCCGCAGACGTTCATTACAGGTTTTGAAATAATTGCCTTAAGTGGTTTCACTGGTAAATCAATCCATCCTTTTCATTCAGTTTTTTGAATTTGTAGACTTTATTTTTGTGTCAATACACGACAATTTTATCTCTGTGCAGGTAATCAATCGCTTCTTTGAGTTTGAATTGAAGATTCATCAGCGTGCGTTTCGTCAAGTCATGCCGGAAAGGAGAAAAAATGAAGAAAATGTGAACTGATGTTTGGAAAAATCCATGATATTACACTTAAGGAAATCTTGAATAAGTTTAATCTTATTGACAATAGAAAACACGTCATGTATCCTTGTTAGCTACTTCCGGTTCCAAGCTAACTTCTAAAAGAAATAAAACCAGGACCACCAAATATAGGATATAAAAGAACTCTTAGATAGTAATGATCAAAAAGAAATATTTTTTTCTATTATTAAAATTTCGCAGGCTTTTGTACGCGATAACATTTCGATGCTTTTTGTCATTTAGTCTATTCAAGTCTTTGATGTTCTGGAAAGTAGTTTCAAGTGTATTGATCGAAGGTTCAAACTAAATATTTGCGTGACCTATTGGGCGTCAAGGTCAGATTTTAGCGACTTCTATAGCGTAAATATTTGTTCGGTTTACTTCAAACAAAAATGCTTAGGAACTTAAATAATGCGGAAAAATAGGTATAGAACTGCTCTGGAGTTCTACAAGTTTTAGGGAATCAGTACCCTGGTGGTAAAAGAGTTTAACTCTACACTCGGGGTCGTTGGTTTGAATCATACTCCGGCCAAGACATGACAGCAGTACTGGTTGGTTGTAAAAAGGTAGGCTCTGTATTAATAAATAAAATGTTAGCGAGAACTTATTTTACAAGTTTAGAATTTTTATTAATACAATGTATGATAAATCACTATATGCTAATTAATTAATTTTACAAGTCCAATAAAACGCCTGTTTGCAAGTTTAAAACTTTCATCGCTTACTCAAACCTGTTTAATTAAGACTATACAATAATATATATAACCAAAAAACTAAATGATAACATGGATAGAACAACATTGTTCTACTTAACTGACAGCAAGCATGATAAAGAAACTTCTCCAATAATGATTATTTTTCTTTGATCTACAGTCGGATTAACTTAGCTAAATATATAGGATTAATTACTGCATTTTTTTCGTACATTAACATCTGCAGAAGCAAAATGGTGTGTTTGAAGCCCGAGTCCCCAGAACAAGTAATAATAAAATTGGAACTAAACCGACGAACCAAAACTTTTTTATTTCTTTTTGAGCATTATTTATAAATGTCTTGGTAATCCGCTAATGTTGCCAGTGGCTGTATTACAGTATTTTAAGTTATTGTACTTAGATCACTTCTCATGCAAATTTGGGTTAAATAAAAGAAGAAAAAGCTAAATACTATATTGTCGTCTGCAAAATCGTTAATTCAGTCGAGAACTGTGAAGTTAATGCACCTCGGACTTTAAATCCCTTTGCTTTGCGAGCCCACATATAAAGTTTTCTTTCTGCTGCAAAAAGTGATTGTTTTGATTTTACATATGGTAGTAACTTGCGTTGAAAGCGGTAAAACAATACCGAACATTTAATTCTGTTAAAGTAAAATATTTACGTGTCGATGTAATCGGTTCAGCGTTCGACATTTTCAAAAGTTGCCGGACAGATACGGTAGCTGTTACGATACGCAATCAATATAGACCATAAATACATTCTGTCTAGACTCTGTAGGATGTCCAACAAAGTTGTCCCCCTTTAAGCAGTAGGCACATTTATAGTGTGTTGTATTATATGTACTTACTGTCTTTAAAGGGGCTCCACTTAGGCTAAAAAAATATAGTCATGTCAAATAACCCCCCCCCCCCAAAAAAAAAAAAGAAAACCCCGATGGAGTCCATTTCAAATAAACAACATTCAAATTGCAATAAATTTCACCAGTGGGTCATAAATGGTCTTAAACTATATTCTAAAGTACATGTACTATAAGGAGTGGAAGAAAAAAGTTCATTAATTTGTAGAGTTTGGAATGTTTTATTTCATTATTTTCTGGCATGAGAAACAATAGCACAAAAACTTACAAAAACTGTTACAATAATTGCATATATCACGGATTTATATTACATATATTATAGATTACATTATAAATCTGTGCATATATGTATGGTTAGTTTTATTTTTATAAGTTATATCTAAAACAAGTTATATCTATAACAATGTGTCACATCTTTGTTAAAATGTCACAATTAACAATCATCTTCTATAGTAAATTTTGTTAAAGTGGATTTGTCTAAAATGGTCACATTTTCCATATCTATTTCAAATATTGGTAAAAACAATAAAACAATTATAGAAAATCTATCACTTGGATATTGTTATAAAATGTTTCTTGATAAAACATGTGGTTATGGAAAATAATATTTTATTCTTGAACATTTTATTATATGCTGTATTTTTATGATATATGGGGTCATTAGGTCACATTTGCCAAGAACTTTTTAATTAAAAATACATGCAGTGGTTACTTGTTATTTCAAACAGTAAATGTTATCAAAGTAATTATTCATTGTATTAAAGACCTTCCATTAAAGACCAATTTACTTTCATAAATATGTTAATCTATGTTTCAAAGTCAATGTCAAAAAAAGATTAAGATTTTATAAAGGTGCATGAGAGCTATTCATGCATAAAAATAAATGTTTAATTTGGTTTATTGTGTTAAAGTTGATGTGCAAGTGTGGTATGTTTGATCATGAATTGAACATGGTTACCCAGAGGAACATAATTATATTACATAAATGTTCGCATGTTTCTTTCTACAGTACTGTATACATGCATGCAGTGTTTATGCAAGAATATGCCTTAAAAATTCTCAGAAACAAACATTTTTTATTTCATATTAACACTACTACATTTAATCAGTAAAACATCATAATGAAAATACAAAGAAATAATCATAAAAAAATAGAAATCTATTGGTGTTTTTTTTTAACTTAATAATAAAAAATCATAAAACAATCAATCATGTTTTTAGACTAAATCATAAAACAATCAATCACGTTCTTAGACTAAATCATAAAAATGTAGAATCAATCACGTTATATCTTCAAAACAAGACACACTCACATTAAATACTTACAAACCGAAAACACTTCATTCTATGCTTATATTCTGATCCAAATCTTTTTAAATTATTAGAGTTTATTTAAAAATTTCACAAGTTATCTTCAACAAGAAAGTGATCAACCTTTAAAGGGACTCCTCTGAGGTTTATTTTTTCCATATGAGGTGACTAGGAATAACTTTCCGAAGACTTTTAGACTATTTGGTGTACGTCTAAACAAATTACTCATTAGCTTAATCTATTTTTCAAGAATAATAATCTTAAATGTGCAAAATGACCTGAGAATTAAAAACTTTGACACACCTTAACCTGAAATCCAGCTAAAAACACAGAGTATATTTCTTTATAATAATTTATTAACATTTTTATTGTGCTCCAGGTGATCTTTGTAAGATTTTTATATTTTATGTTACCTCAGTTGAGTGCCTTTAAAGATACACAGAAAACGTAGATCTACAGCTGGATATTTCAATAAAATAAATAATTATTATTTTGACCTTTTTCAAAGTTTTTTTTTACAATAATTAATAAGAAGTTTCAAGAATCTGGTGAGCATAAAGAAAAAAATATGTATTACATGTAGCGAGGTATAATACTGTATTTTTTACATGATGCAAGAAAAAAACAGTAATTATGTACATGTATATGCCATGAGTGTACAAATAGGTTTGTGAAGTTTCAACCCATCCCTGTTGGTAGTTTTGGTGACACAAACTTGCAGCCAAAATTTTACCAAAATGCCACACCAACTCCTGGGTGCTTACATATTCTTCAAATTGTTGAGATAAGATGTGCAACAGTATCAAATAACCCATATTTTGAAACAATAAATGATGAAAATATCTAATGTTTATTTTAAGTGTTTATTCACAATTCTTTTTCATAAAACTGTAAAATACTTTATATAAATTATAATAATATACATAAGTTTACAATATTAATTCATCATTCAAAATGGTTCATTGAATTAAAGCAACAAAAATAAACAAAAACATACTATGAGCAATAATATTCACAAATAATAACATGCATTTTATAGCAACTACAAATGTGGCTTTAATTAAAACACAAAATCACACTCCTCCCTACCTTCCCAGATTATAACCTGTGAACAAATGAACAAAGTAAAGAGATATTTTGCAAATTTAACATTGAATGTCAAGGTCAAACTTTGAAATTCAACCTTGAAAATAAAGGTAAAATTTTGAAAATTTAACCTTAAAGGTCAAAATCATATAGGAATGAGAAATCAATGTTATATTTAAATGTGTGGGCATGTTAATTTGACCAAATAAGGAGGCTGTAATATCTTAAGATGGAGATGTTATAGCAAAGGATAAATTTGCCCACACAGACAGACATATAAACATACACAACAAAAACAATAAATCAAGGCCATAAAAATGTGCACATAAATTGGCCCATTTGCATAAATACATGGATGAGCATCTTTACTTTAATTACTTTCTCAAACTATAATCTTGTACAAAATGAATGTGAATGTAGGTCTTTCTCAAAAATACCTTTCCTATCTGTCATCCAAGAAAAAGACATTTTACACACACACAAAAAATAAATCCATTTTTTCAAGAGGGAGAACATCTGGTTTTATCCCATTCTTTGGTCAAATCTGGATGGTTCAGATCCACCAAACTGGTTTTTCTGGATAACTAACCAGTAATTACCAATTTCTCCAAACTGGCTACTAACTCCAAATGAGCCGCGTCACGACAAAACCAACATAATGGGTTTGCGACCAGCATGGATCCAGACCAGCCTGGGCATCCGCACGGTCTGATCAGGATCCATGCTGTTGGCTTGCAAACTCTATAACAAGTAGATAAACAGATAGCGAACACCATGTATCCTGATCAGACTGCGCGGATCCATGCTGGTCGCAAACCCACTATGTTGGTTTTGTCGTGACGCAGCTCAAATTATTTTTTGAATCTTGGGTGAGAGACGAATGACCATTAGACTCAATGTCGAAGATTGATTTTCATAGGGAAATTACGCCATGCTATATGATTGAACCAGCAACCCCTGAATTATAAATCCAATGATCTCCCTCATTAACTAAGTAGGCAGACTATTTATAATAAGATGGAATAATTATAAATGAATTCTTATTTTCAGATATTCTTTTTTTTAACATTTTTTTTGACTAGTTTATCATCAAACTTTTAATTCTAAACATGTTTAGCTTTCCAGTACAGTCTTTCATCAAATTATTTCTACAAAACATGATCTTCGAAAAAGAAACAAAAAACAAACTGAGTGTGTTAATAATTATCCAAAACTATGAAACAAACAATTTTCATTTCACTTTAACACAGTTGCACAACAACTGAGCACTATAAATTCTTTCACCTAATCAAAGGCAATAACATATATAAAATATCACAATTTTCAATGAAATTACACAAAACACAGAGAACATTTCTATGTTTCGTGTGGCACATAATATAACAAGACAATTAACTGGAGATTAGTGCAGCAATATGAGCCATGTCACGACAAAACCAACATAATGGGTTTGCGACCAGCATGGATCCAGACCAGCCTGCGCATCCACGCAGTCTGATCAGGATCCATGCAGTTCGCTATCAGTTTCTCTACTTGTTATAGGGTTTGTAAGACCGATTGTCTAATGGACAAAATACATAAGACAGCTAATCTAGTTGGTTGTTCATTGCCCTGTTATATTATGTTTGAGGTTACAACCACTTACAATAAGGTCCACATAACAACAACAAAAAAATGGAGAATAATCTCTTTCTAAATTTGGATATATATATGAAACAGATTTAAATTTACCACCGGTTCACTGAAATATACTGGTAGTTTCTAAACACATTTTTCCCTAGTGTATAAAGCAAAAGCCAATCTTTACATGACTTTCAAACATGTAAATGCAGTGAAGAAAACTTTGATGAATCAAAACATTCCCACACAAATCTCTACAGAACAGCATTGAGCTGTCCCATTAGATTTGATGGGGCCCAAAGATTTCCTGTATATGCGTCTTTTTTTCACAGACCTAATAACTATGATGCCTCTGAAGAAATTTTGTTTCTTTTTTTATTTTTTTAATTAAAATAACTTTAATTCTGCAAAAATATCAGCAAATACAAAAATTTCAGCATAATATCAACAAGAGCTGTCGGTAGGACAGCAACGCTCGACTATTCTTAGTGCTTGATAGTAAAAAAAATGCTTGATACAGTTACCTCCTCCTGTTTACAGGTTGGGGTCATGATGGTGAACAAGTGTGCAAAGTTTCAAAGCCATATGTCAATGGACTTTGAAAATATTTGAACTATTACAAAAACTTTAACATTAATTCTAAGTCGAAAAAGGGGCATAATTCTGTCAAAATGCTTGATAGAGTTACCTGTCTACAGGTTGGGGTCATGATGGTGAACAAGTGTGCAAAGTTTCAAAGCCATATGTCAATGGACTTTGAAAATATTTGAACTTTTACAAAAACTTTAACATAAATTCTAAGTCCAAAAAGGGGCATAATTCTGTCAAAATGCCTGATAAAGTTACCTCCTCCTGTCTACAGGTTGGGGTTATGATGGTGAACAAGTGTGCAAAGTTTCAAAGCCATATGTCAATGGACTTTGAAAATATTTGAACTATTACAAAAACTTTAACATAAGTGGTTACGCCGACACGGACGCTCGGGTGACTACAATAGCTCTACTTATTCTTATCGAATAGTCGAGCTAAAAATTAGTTAACTTAAAATTTTCACTAAATAATACAATCAAAATACCCCCCCCCCCCCAAATGCCTATCAAGAAAAAGAGCCTGGGAATAAAATGCCAACATGTTTAAACTGGAAAAAAAAAATTGCGAAGGAATTATTTCTAAGGTTATAGAATTTACTCCTCATACATGACCGACCTCGGTCAAATTAATCTCAGCACTTTGTGTTTAACACAGGACACAATGTCGGTCAAGTTGTTCTTCTTGTTATCATTATTATTTCCAACAAAAATGCTCAATATTTTGTAGAAAATAGTTGCATAAACATGTTCCACACCTGTGTACATCTTTACGAGCAGATTTCACTATATACGTGTTTAATATTCATCTATAAATGAGAATACTCTGGGGGTTGATCATGATCTGTACGATGATAATGTTCGTGGGCACCTGTGTCACCACTGTCATTATGATAATTGATCTTTCTCGACTGTTCTTTTAACTCCTTTTGTTGGTGTTGATACAGTTTTGCTTTATTTATACTAGGACCTGAAACAAAAACACAAATATTGTCATGAAGAGATCATTGTTTCCCTAGAGTGAAAAAAAGTCACTGGTTGACCTGGGTAACACAAAAAAACACATGCTTTTGTTTGTGATACTGTTTGTGAGCAGTACTGAGTAGACCTAGCAATGAATATGAAAGGTGTGGCTTAACTTTTCACTGCTAAAAACTGGTAATGTCCATTGACCTGAATCTTCACCTTTAGGAAAGTCTACATATACAATACGCAAGATATCATTCAATTTGTAAGATTTTATAAAAAGATTTTGTGTTATATCTCCGTGGTCGATCCAAATCATCTGCTCCCCCGGATAACTGACAATTACTAATTTCTCTGCAAGTCACAAACTACTTATCTCATATCATTTCTGAATCAGTGATTAGAGACAAAAAGACATTTAGACAAAATGACCGAGATAATTTAACGCTGAGAAGTAACGACGCGACCATGGAAAGGGCCGTTAAACCCTGGGTTAGTTATCTGATGCTCTCCCTTTTCAGCTTAGGGGTCAGACAATGTATCCTTCGATAAGTGCAGGTTGTAACAGGAACAGGGAGTGAAACAGATAGCAGAAACTAGCAATAGCAGAAAGTATACTCCCGCAATATTTGGTTAAGAGAAGCATAAATATGCCCCCTATCACATGATCACACATAATCGGCCTGTCAATAAATGCAACTAACTTACCTATATAGCTAAGTAATACTGGCAAGAAAATAAGTCCATGGGAAGCACCAAACACTACCATTCCGAGATACATGCGGAAATAAAACACCTGGAACAACTGCGACTTGGCAAATCCTAGCACAATTATACCTCCTAATTTTGTCAATGTTATACCACTCAATACCTGTAAATTTAAATAAAATTTCATTAACGTTCACATGTCAACTTAGATGGTAAGACACATGCCATATTTCAATGACAAACCGTTCTTTGTAACTATAACCCTACAAGATATGTGTATGTGTATTGAGTTTTTAATATCTTTGCAGCATATTTCTAATTATAACTTTAAATATTCAAGAAGAAAGATAACAAACTAAAGAACTATTTACAAACATATGTTTTTTTTCCAGAATGATAATTTATTTTTGTAAACTGACCTAAAAATGAAAACCTTTTAACTTAATCTGATCTAAGAATAGCACAAAACATCTATTTTTAATTTACAGTCTAACTTGCCCATGCGACCACGTGTATTAAGCGACTTTTGTCTTAAACGACCACTTTAAATTCCCCCCGATCATTTTCTCTCTATATCTTTAATGTATTAAGCGACTTTTGCTCAACGCGACCAGCGACCGCTAATTAGTCACCTAATTGACATCAATCTTTTCATTAAACGACCACTTTTACCTGTCAAGTAATTGTGTTTTTAGAGAACGCCACCTCGTTATGTCACAAGTGTCAGCAATCAAAACACAACAATAAACGTGTGAAAAACTCTATTTCACAAACCGTTTTAGCGTATGCAAATGAAGTTAAGTATACGCGTGACGTGTATTATCCAATAATATCGGATAAACAATGCAACGCTCCGCCCATACTGAGATGGTGTATACGCTTCGCTTGTTGACATTTAGACTGCATTGAATTGACCTTGAACTTGATCAGCCATTAAATTAATCGTAACAAATAGATGTAGTTTGTTTATTTCAAATGAAAAAATGCACAACAGAAAACATCTTCACTAATAGGGTTTTCGTGTTGGAGACAAGGAAAACAACGGAGAAGTTAAAAAATTCTGGAAAAAATGTCAAACATGTACGTAATGGATCAAAACTGTTTTGTCAATAAATATCAGAACGTTATTTTTACATTTGCATCCGTTTAGATTATCGGAGCGTAGTTATTATTCAACATTTATATAAAAATGAAGGTGAAAAACAATCCCATCGAATAAAAAAGATGTCATTTATAAATTTTGACTTTTATATCATGCTGACTGTCTTAAGAGACCGTTTCATTAAGCGACCGTTTTTGGTGTTTCCCTTGCCCGGTCGCTTAATACACGTTTGACTGTAGTTCTGAGAATATTTCTTTATCATGATTCTCATACTTCTGTATTAAAATGTAAACTTATATACAAGCAATAATTCTCATACAGTTTTACATCATGATGTGATGAGACAAGACAACTTACCGAGCTACCCATATGTGCGAGGGCATCTTTAGCTCTCTGTACTTTATCTGGCTGTATACTGACAGCGAATGCACGAGCTATATGTGAGCAGAACTCCACTGATATACCAATAGCCTGTAATATATAACAACAATCATGATTCACCTTTATGTCACCCTATATTTGTGTAATAGACTTAGTTCTGCTATCACTTTGGAACCATCTATTGTAAATACAAGGGGTGTTCCACATAAAAGTCCAGATATTAATTTGAAACAAGAGGGCCATGATGGCCCTGAGGTCGCTCACCTGTATATAGGCCCCCCACCCCCGGGCCAATTTTTACCCAAGGGCTTTTATTTGTTTATTTGAACAGACTTGGTAAACACCCATAAGAAGATGTTTCATGCTAAACATCTAAGTTCTATCTCATTGGCATTTTTAAAAGAAGATTTTTAAAGTTTTTACTATACACATATAGTTAAAAACAATGTCACCCCTGGGGCAGGGCCAGTTTTGACCCCCGGGCGTTTATTTTAACAAACTTTGTAGATATTTACTTAAAGATGTTTCATGCTTAATATCTAAATCTCTAGCTATTTGGGTTTTTCCAAAGAAGATTTTTAAGTTTTTGCTATACACATATAAGGAAAATCAATGACCCCCCACCCCCCCCCCCCCCGGCGGGGCCAGTTTTGACCCCAGGGCTTTTATTTGAACATACTTGGTAGACACCCATTAGAACATGTTTCATGCTAAATATCTTAGCTCTAGCTCTTTGAGTTCTTTAAAAGAAGATTTTTTAAGTTTTTACTATATGCATATAGGGAAAATCAATGACCCCCTGGGGCGGGGCCAATTTTGACCCCAGAGCTTTTATTTGAACAAACTTGGTAGACACTCATTAGAAGATGTTTCATGCTAAATATCTTAGCTCTAGCTCTTTGGGTTCTTTAAAAGAAGATTTTTTAAGTTTTTACTATATGCATATAGGGAAAATCTATGACCCCCTGGGGCAGGGTCAATTTTGACCCCAGGGCTTTTATTTGAACAAACTTGGTAGACATTCACTAGAAGATGTTTCATGCCAAATATCTAAGCTCTAGCTCTTATGGTTCTTTAAAAGAAGATTTTTTAAGTTTTTACCATATGCATATAGGGAAAATCAATGACCCCCGGGGCGGGGCCAATTTTGACCCCAGGGCTTTAATTTGAACAAACTTGGTAGACACTCACTAGAAGATGTTTCATGCTTAATATCTTAGCTCTAGCTCTTTGGGTTCTATAAAATAAATTTTTTTAAGTTTTTACTATATGCATATAGGGAAAATCAATGACCCCCGGGGCGGGGCCAATTTTGACCCCAGGGCTTTAATTTGAACAAACTTGGTTGACACTCACTAGAAGATGTTTCATGCTTAATATCTTAGCTCTAGCTCTTTGGGTTCTTCAAAAGAAGATTTTTTAAGTTTTTACTATATGCATATAAGGAAAATCAATGACCCCCTGGGTCGGGGCCAATTTTGACCCCAGGGCTTTTATTTGAACAAACTTGGTAGACACTCACTAGAAGATGTTTCATGCCAAAATGTCTAAGCTCTAGCTCTTATGGTTTTTTAAAAGAAGATATTTAAAGTTTTTTCTTTTGGTTGCCATGGCAACCAGAGTTCTGCATGGAATTAAATTCTTTGAACAATTTTTAAAGGTGACCACCAAAGGAACATTCCTGTGAAGTTTTGATGAAATTAGCTCAGAGTTTATGAGGAGATGTCATTTAAAGCAAAAGTTTACGGACGGACGGACGGACGGACCACGGACGAAAAGCGATCACAAAAGCTCACCCTGTCACTTTGTGACAGGTGAGCTAAAAACAGTAAGAAACTGGTCAAAAAGTAAAAAAATTCTATAAAATTTATTAAATTGTTATCCATCCAACATGACTTCTACTTATGTCAAAGGATGATACAGAATAATCAAGAATCATATATTTACAAACATGAAAAACTTGTATCAGTATTGAAGGACATATTCCAAGAGGACTCTTGTGTATGTAACAAATTGAGAGCTGGATAACTTCCTAACATGATAGAATTCCATGACACTGGCAGGAATTGAACCCACTAATGGTAAGGGACAAGTGGTTCAAGTCAGCATCCTTAATTACCCAAACACAGGGGCCCCAACAATTTACATTAAGTCGATGCACTGATCTTACACAAAAGGCGTTAAAAGAAAGAGTAAACAAATAGATCTAGATTTTACTTACCATGACCAAGTTTACAAGTGAAAGAGCGTTTAAGGTTATGTCCCACAGGTACATCATTCCCATTATATCAACAATTATCATCATTATTGTTATAAACACAACAATTGCCGTCACCAGGTCAAATCCAAGCAGGATAAATGTCGCAACAAAGATGGCCGCCATACATATCCCAATGTTCTTCACAGTGTTATGCACGATGGTTAGATATTGTTCGTAGAATACATAAAATACACTGAAAATGAAATATTTTATTTAAAAATGTTAGTTGACTTATTTCTTGTCAGCAATTTGGTGATATACAGAAGTTTTTTTCTTTTGCAGCAATATTTACAAACAAAATGCTTGACAAGAGATGTTAATTGACACATTAATGGTCATATTGCACTGAACACTATCATCATTTAGCCTAAAGTGAGTAATACAAGTTTATTAAATGAGTTAACACAATCTTAGAAAAAAAAACTATTTCCTTTAAGTAACCAACCACAGGCACAAGTATCGGACCTGGGATGAAAACATATGACCTGACTGATAAAAAAACCTGTGTTCATCTTAAAAGTGTAAAAAATCCAAAAAAAAATGTAAATTATGACCCCCATTAAAAATATATAATAATAATAATTTACAATTCTTTTTGGATTTTTTACACTTTTAAGATGAACACAGGTTTTTTTATCAACCATGTCATATGTTTTCATCCCAGGTCCGATACTCGTGCCTGTGTAACCAACTAGAGTTTTTGCATGGAAAATGGAGGCGAAAAAAAATTTGTTAGTGAATTTCATTGATTAAATCTATCTAAACCTATGTAAGATCATGACATTCAAGAAAACAACTGATATTAACCTATAAGCAAAGACTTCTTCATCTTCTGATTTCGCACCTATCGCCTTTGAAATATTCTTGGAAATAATACGAGCCTCTTTCAAACCCTTGATATAGTCACTAGATGTTTTCATTGGTGTATGATATGTCATAAAATATGTGGCTGCAAAAAAATGCAAGAGAATGTTTTATAAATACGGATTTGGTTTCAAGACTGCAATAAATCATAAAGTCACAATGAAAAATAAGGAACTGTTAGTATTAATAATACATAATAGTAAAATTTCCGAACAAAATTTCATTTTTTTATGCATTTCCCACCTTTTCCAAAAAAAAAAAAAAAAAAAAAAAAAAAAAATTCTTTCAAATGGAAAAGACACTCCGAATAACAATACCAGTGCTTATTGAAAAACTGACAAGTTTAATGATTACTTATTAACCCTTAACATCTTAAATGGAACTTGCCCATCTTTCAAAAATCTGGACATAACCATTTATCATTTTTTTTCGGGAAAATTATATATATATATATATATGTACTTAGTGAACAGGCAAACAGTGCAGACCAATGATCAGATTGACACAACAAATGCTGGCTAAATAACTGATCTGCCCTGAATCATGTAGATAAGAAATTAAGTTGTTACAAAGCTGGGTTAAAGTTTTTAACATTTATTTTTTATAAAAGTTTTAAAAAATTTTTTAAAAACTTTACAATAAAATTAAACCATTTTAAATTAAATTTTAGCAACCCAAACCCGTGCTGGGAAACACATGAGGTAACATGGTTATTAACCTTGTTAAATCAGTGGCAGATACCTTTAACACAAGGCCCTCTTTCCCCTTAAATTTTTAAAAATTTTTATTTTTTTTCATAGAATTTTTTTTTTTTGAATTCAAATAGAAAATAAACTTCATTAGTAAAATGTTTTCTCCCCCCCCCTTTCTGTTTTATTTTTTTAGATTAAAGCCCCTTATAGCTGCATTTCCCATTTAATAAAAAATAAATAAAATAAAAAATAAAAAATTTTCTTTTAAATTTTAAAAAAGGTTTAAAATTAAAAAAACAATTAAAAATCTATATAAACTTATTTCCAATGTGGCCCTTTTGAAAAAAAAAACAACAAAAAACAAAACAGGAAAATCATATTGAAAAAGTGTTAAAATTGGGAAATTTTAAAAAATATTAAATTAATATACTTTTGGAAAAAGACCAACAATTTGGTTTTTTTTCCCCTAATTTAAACCCCTTTTTATTTTTTATTTTGTTTTGTTCCCTTTATTGTTTGTTCATTTTATTAATTTAAATTAATTTATTCATTTTCAATTTACCCCACCCCATTCATTCATTTTGAAAAAATAAAAATAACTTTGGGATTTTTCCTTTAAAAAAATTTAAGGTTAAATTTTAAAACGAATTTTTAAGTATTTTTGTTCCAAATTTCCCTGCAAATAAGAAAAAAATTGGGCTTTAAAAATAGTTTGTTTTTGGGTTTGTCCATAATAAAATTTTTTTCGGGACCCAGATTTAAGGGTTTTAATTTTTTTTGCGGTAAAGTCATAGTTCTGTATTAATCGGTGCCATGTTTATTTAAAGTTTTAAAAAAAAACCAGGGGGTGGGATTTTTAAACCCGTCAAGGGGGTAAAACCCTTTTAAAAGGGGGTTTTTGATAAATTTATTGAAAAGGGGATCTTTTGGTGCTGTAAAATTTATTTTTGCAAATTTTTTTTTTTGTAAAATTTTCAAACATTTTTATGTATTTGTGTTTTCCCTTTTTTCCCCTATAAAAAAACAAGTCCCTAAATTGGGGAATATTTTATGCATTGTAAAAATTTAAATTTTATTCAAAATGCAAAAAAAAGAAAATTTTTTTAATAAGGGGAATTTTTTCCGGTTAAAATTTTTTTCAAAAATTGTAATTTTCAAGTGCCATTTTAAAAATTTTTATCTATGCAATACCCAAACTTTTTGATCAGTTTAAAAATTTAAGAGGGTATTTTATTTATTTAAAAATACAAAATTTTCTCAAAAATATTTAAATTTTTGTCTTTTTCCTTTAAACCCTACATTTTTATTTTTCGGGTTTAAAAACTATATTTATTTTTTACCATTTTCAATGTTTTTAAATGATTTTTGAAGTTTTTTTTCTACTTTTGATATTTTTTTCTCCGGACTCCCTAAAGAGAAAAATGTTTCTAAAAAATAATTTTTTTTATCATACCAATGAAAGGTAAAGTCCCTTTATGTATAATTTGAAAAATAAAGGGGCCTAAAATTGAGCCTTTTGGAAACCAGGAAATTTTTTTTTCATTGTCTGAGATTTTAAAATTACCCATCTTTAAACCCGTTGTTCTTCCCCAAAAAATAAAGACTTAAAAAACTTAACGGATTTTAGAAAAATTATAAAATTTTTAAATTTACAAAAGTAAAATTTAAAGGGCAACCAATGAAAAAGGGTTTTTTTAAGTCTAAGAAAAAACAGTTTCCCCATATTTTTTCCCCCCTGTCACATCTTTTAAAACCCAAATTCTTTAAACTAAGAGTTTCAGTATTACAAAGTGAAATTTTTTTGAAATCCCGGGTTTTTATTTGAATTTTGTTGTTTTTTTAAAGAATAGTGTATTTTTTTGGCAAATGGCGCTCAAAAAATTTTTGGGTAAAAGTTACAAAATTTATATCGGGCGAAAAGTTTTTTGTTTTATTCTTACCCCCATTTAAAAAAAAGGTTTAATCTAAACTCCCTTTTTTAAAACAATTTTGGGAAAATTTATATTTTTAAAACTATTATTGATAAATTTAAAGGAATTTTGGTGTAAAATTTAAAATTTCCCCAAAATTTAATGATGTTTGGTCCAATTTTCCAAACTTAAAACCTGTAGATTTTTAATATTCTTTCAATAATAAAATTTTTTTCTTTAAAAGGTGTAATTAAATTTTAAAAAAAATTTGTATTTTAGTTTTTTTCTAAAGTTTCCCTTTAAGTTTTAAAAAATTTTTATTTGAAAAACTTTTTTTTTTTGTATGACAAATTTGGGTAAGGGGCAAAATTCTTTTAAATTTATTTAAAATATTTTTCATTTGTAAAATTTTTTTAAATTTCCCGTCACTAGTCCCGTCGGCATTGTAAAACACCTTTTTTTTTTTGTTTGAAACGTCCTTTAAATTTTTCCCTAAAAAAGCCGGGGCTTTGTTTTTTTTTAATAGGGATTTTTAAAAAAATCTCTTTTACCTTTTTTTAAAAATTTTGAAAATTTTATTTTTTTAGCATTTTTTATTGTTCATGTTTCCCCAACTTTAAGATAGTAACGGGGTTCAATTTTATTAAAATTTTTATCTCATCAGTAAAGCCAAATTTGGGGCCGGGGTTCACTTTGAAAACTTTTTCTTTTTAAATTTGGGGGCTGCTTTTTTTAATTTTTGTTTTAAAAAAGGAGTAAAATAAGCTAAGAGACATTGGGTTTAAATTTGTTTCTCGACTAATTCAAAATGGAAAAAAGCAAGGGCTACCTGAAAACCAATTTTTTGAAATTTTTAAAAAAAATCTTATTTAAATCGAAATTAATTTCATTTTTCAAAACGGGTACATGCTTTTGTTGATCTTGAAAAACTAAGGAATTTTATTTTTGAAAGGGACAGAAAAAAAAGTTAAAAAATATTGCTTCTGTTTGGGATAAAAATGATTTAAAATTTTTGGGTTTTTTGTTTAAAACCTAGGGAGGGTTGTGATAAATTTTTCAAACCCTATTTCGTTACAAATCACCCCTTTTTTTATTTTCAAAAAACTTTTTCTTTTTTTTTCATTGGATAAAAGTTTTATTGACTATTTCCCAAAAAATATGAAAATTTTATATTTTAAAATATCTATTATACTTAGGGTTTTTTTATAAAACGTATTCCCCAAAATTGGTTTTAAACATTTGGTTGGGGGATATAAAAAAATTTTAAAAAAAAAGGTTTGGGAATTTTTTGGGGAAAAATTTTCCAAACCAAAAAAGATTTCTAATTCGTTCCGTTTCTATACGTAAAAGGGCGCCCATTGGCACCTTGCAGCAATATATATTACAATTTTCCCCCCCTTTTTTAAAAATTTTTTCGGTCCTTTTTTTGTGTGTAATTCCTTTTTAATTTTAATTTTTATCATTTGTTTTATCTTCACCAAGAAATTTTCAGTAAAGCCCAAAAATAACTGGGGAATTTAAATTTTTTTAAAAAGTTGTAAAATTTTTAATTTTGTTATTTTCGGATTGAAAGATTAACGTTAAGGGGGGTGCAAAATGTAAAACCCGTTTTTTTAAAACTTAGAAAATTTAAAAATTTATTATCTGGAAAATTTGGGTTTTAGGGGCGAACATTATTTAGTAATTTTGCAATTTTAAAATTTTCATTTCCCCCATTTTTTTGTAGGCAAATGATTTTTCAAAAAAAAAATTTGATTATCGATTATTTGTCTAAAATTACCGTTTTTTACTATCAAACGATAATTTTTCGCGTACTTAAACATATGGTAAAATACAAATTTTGGAGTACAACAAATTTTTTTATTACAAAAAAAAAATATATAATTAAGATAGTAATTAAAAATAATAAATTAAAAATAATAACAAGTATGTTTGAAAAAGATCCCCTATCAGCAGCCCAAATTTGTATTGATAATTTTATGCATGACTTTTGACCCGTATCAAAAATTAATAAAAGGGGTTTTCAAGTAAACTATGGTCATGACCTTTAACCCTTTTACCCCTTGACCCAAAACCAAAGGGGGATCTGCTGGCCCACCAACATCATACAAAATTTGAAGTTCCTGGCCTAAGCTTTTTAGTTAATTGATCAGAAACCGTTTTTTTCCCACAAAGGTTCAAGTGACCTTTACCCTTTTACCACTTACCCCAAAAACAATGGTCATCTGCTGGCATGACCAAAACACTATACCAAGTTTGAAATTCCTAGGCCCAAGGGGTTTTTTGTTTTGATGGAAAACCTTTTAACTACATGGTCAATGTGACCTTGACCTTTCCCCAAAATCAATAGGGGTCATCTGCTGCTCAGACCAAACCAAACCCAAGTTTGAAGTTCCCTTGCCAAGCGTTCTTTAATTGATCAGAAACCGTTTTTACTTACAATGTCAATTGACCTTGACCTTTTGCCCTTTACCAAAAA